TGAGCAATGCGACGCGCAATCCTATCATTGTTTACTTTCTTCTCCTCCTCCTCCGTACGGGCAACCGAAACTCTAGGTTTGGCCAGATAGTCAAGAATGGCGGGCAGGTGCAATCTTTTGAGTAACTTCTCAACGAAAATCGACCAATCTTCTTTCCCAAACATCATAGTCTCCCACCACTTTGTATTGCCATTTTGATCCGCAATGAAGACATCTTCCCATTTTCTCCAACCGACGTATTTAGTACCACCACGCCATCCAAGAAGAGCAGCCTGAGAATCCCTCGAGCGTGCAGCGAACGCGCGACGATGAGCGGACCAGTCACCTGACGCATGCATCATGCCCAACCGCGCCTGAGAGTAGGCGTTGAGTTTGAAGGCATTCACGTTTGCGCCAGAGGGTCGTGCCTCACGCGGCTCACTATCATGATTAGAAGAGGGGGGGTCCCGTGGTCGCTTACTTCCCTGTGGGGCAGCAGACGGACTATCGGCGGAAGCGATGCGGACTAACCCCGCTACCGCCGGGAACCTCGTAGAGCTTTTTCCGTGCATGGCGATCGCGGAGAAAGCTTCTGGAGCGAGAAACAAAAACTCGAAAAATCACGTTTTTCTGTTTTTATTCAACGTCGGTTCCTCCAAGTGCTTTGATAGTAATACTCCAACTACAGACCTGAAAGATTTACTGGCAGACGCGGCATAACCCACTACAGGTGCGAAAAATCTGCTTTCTCAAAATAAATTATAACATATCTTTCCAATATTCGCAAAACCACCCAAAAGTTACCACTTTGTCCATTTTGGCCGGGTCGACCAACTGGGCGCCGGCGGTACACCGTCAACCTTTCTTACCGCCGGGGGACTCGTAGAGCTTCCTGACAATATATAACGTCGAAAAAAATTGCAGAGAACGAATAGTTTTTGAGCCCAAGCGATTTCAGACAATAGTTAGGCAAATCCAGCTCGAGTATCAGACCGAGCTCAGACCTCTGAATGCGACAGGCGGACGCAACTGATGTCTCCGAATCGATTCCTGTGATTACCAGCCCTGCAGCCCCCCCTACAGCCCGAGTTAAGTGCAGGAAACCGACAGCATCTCTCAGGATGACTCGAAGAATACGAACAGTTTTGCAGACTTAGTTCGGGCAGCAGACCCAGTTTCGAGCTCTGGAGTCGACAGACAGACGCGCCTGGTGACCACCGGCACTGTAGCCCCTCTACAGCCCGAGTTAAATGCAAAAAAAAACTGGGCGCCGGCGGTAAACCTCAACCTTTGTTACCGCCGGGGGACTCGTAGAGCTTCCTGAGAATATATAATCTGAAAGAAAAAATGAAGAGAACGGATAGTTTTTCAGCCCGAGCGATTTCAGACCTCTCGATGCAACAGCCGAACGCCCCCGATGCTTCTGGACTGTCTTCTTTACGAGCTCTGCATCCCTCCTACAGCCCGGGTTACGTGCGTAAGTCGAAAGCACCTCTCAAGATGACTCTAACAAAACGAATAGTTTCGCAACCCAGCTCGAGTATCAGACCGAGTTCAGACCTCTGAATGCGATTGGCGGAGGCGCCTGATGTCTGCGAATCTATTCCTGTGATTACCAGCCCTGCAGCCCCCCTACAGCCAGAATTAAGTGCAGAAAACCGACCTCATCTCTCAGAAGGACTCGAACAATACAATAGCTTCGCAGACCTAGCTTGGGCAGCAGACCGAGTTCCGAGCTCTGGATTCGTCGGACGGACGCACCTGGTGTCTTCAAATCGATTCCTGTGACCACCAGCACTGTAGCACCCCTCAGCCCGAGTTGAGTGAAGAAAACCGAGAGCACTTCTCAAGATGGCTCGACCAATACAAATAGTTTCGCGATTCTAGATCGGGCAGCAGACCGAGTTCAGAGCTCTGGATTCGACAGACAAACGCAACTGATGATTCTGAATCGGTTTCTGTAAACATCAGCTCTGTAGCTCTCCTACAGCTCGAGTTAAGTACAGAACACCGAGAGCGCCTGTCAAGATGACTCGAATAATACAAATAGGTTTGCGGACCTAGCTCGGCTGACAGACCGAGTTCAGACCTCTCGATTTAACGGGCGAACGCACCTAATGGAGGAGGAGGAGGAGGAGGAGGAGGAGGAGGAGGAAAAGGAGGAGGAGGAGGAGGAGGAGGAGGAGGAGGAGGAGGAGGCAGGAGCAGGAGGGAGGAGGGAGGAAGAGGAGGGAGGAGGGAGGAGGGAGGAGGGAGGAGGAGGGAAAGGAGGGAGGAGGGAGGAGGGAGGCGGGAGGCGGGAGGCGGGAGGAGGAGAGGAGGAGGAGGAGGAGGAGGAGGAGGAGGAGGAGGAGGAGGTGGAGGTGGAGGAGGAGGAGGAGGGAGGAGGAGGAGGAGGAGGAGGGAGGAGGACGAGGAGGAGGAAAAAGAGGAAGAGGAGGAGGAGGAGGAGGAGGAGGAGGAGGAGGAGGAGGAGGAGGAGGAGGGAGGAGAGGGAGGAGGAGGAGGAAGAGGAAGAGGA